CACATCATAGTAGACTAAAGCTTTGACACACTGGAAGTAAAAGGAAAGCTCTCAATAAATCATAGTGTGGCCTCTCAATTCAGAGAACATGTGCAATCCTAAAACGTGTTCATCACCCACTGCCTAAAGAACAGACTTCTTTGGTTCAGTGTCATTAAATGAGGAGTTAAAGAACTCTGCTAAATTTCATAGAATCACAGAATTTTAGGGGTTGGAATGGACCTGACAGATCATCTAGTCCCAACCCCTGCCCTGGGCAGGGACACCTCCCCACTAGACCATGATGCTCAAGGTCTCATCCAGCCTGGATTGAACACCTCTAGGGTTGGGGCAGCCACAGCACTGAGATCTTTGCTGTGAATCCTTAATAAAAATTGCTACAAATTACTGAATAAAGTCCTAATTTAGAGTATCAAATAGTTTAACCTCCAAATACTTTTTATTTACTTTGTAAAATATATAAGTCTAGTGCAAATTTGCATCATAGCTTAATTCCATTCCATTAGAAGGTCCATTTAGCTTGTTCCAAAACAATTACTTACATCCTCGTGACCGTAAGTGCAGGCTAAATGAAGTGGAGTATTTCCATTATTGTCCTGAACATCAGTACTTGCCTTATAGTGCAATAAGAGCAGCTTAAAAGAAGAAACAGAAGTAGACATTTAAGTAGCTAAAAAATTAATGGGCAAACAATTATTACTCTGCAGATTCCTTTAGGGTTCTAGCATGATGAAGCATTTTCATGAAAAGCTAGCTGTGCCTCCTGTCTCAGACATCATCCTCCTGCACTGCAGTGCTGTTTGTGCCCTGCCCTGAGAACCAAACAAAGCCAAAACTGTCATTGAAGAAATGGATTCTCTACTGCAGCAAACAGTGCAACACACACACTACAGCTACATTACTCTGTTTTAAGAGTCTGTGCAAGTGAAGCCACAGCTCAACTTCCACAATGCTAAGGGAAGAACATCACATCTATAAAACCCAAGTAGACAATGTGTAGTTACACAGTCTGCCCTAAACACACTGAAGTCATTTAACTCATTCCCACGACTGCAGTGGTTCTAAGAGCAGAGATTTGTACTGTGTGTTAGACATTTGCAGTAATAAAATGGAGGAATTATCAGGTATGTGTAGCTGTCAACTGCTTGGACATTACCACTGCCTGGAAACCTTGCAGCGTGAGGAAAAACAAAACATCCTGCAAACTACTCTGATGAAATATCCTCAGCCCTGAGAGCAGACACAGTTCTGGTAAGAGCTTCTTGGAAGACCCAAATGGCAGTAACAGCAGAAGAGCTCGGTGCATTCATTATTCACAGGAGGTGTTGGTGCTTACTGTAACGTTCTGATATCCCTTCTGGCAGGCGAGGTGAAGTGGAGTTGAGCCATGGTAGTCTGTAGCATTGACAACAGCTCCTTTGGCCACTAGTAAATCCACAAATGATGTTTGCCCTTGAAAAATAAGCAGACATGAAAACAAGGAGGTAAATTTCACACAGGAACATTGCTGCTTTTCAAGTTCAAACAGGAACTATGAAGCAGGACACCCTGCAGTTCTGCATACTGTGTTTCTATACACTGTGTTCCCTTTCTTGGTAGTTGGGGATTTTGTTGCAGATGACTCAAGGCCAAAGCTCCATAAAAGAACCCCCAGCTGAAAGCAAGCTATGTTTGCATCCTATGAGTAAGAAAAGGTAAAATATTTGGATTCAATAGAATACCAAAAAGGGAAATTATTTACAAAAACCCACCGAGAAAATAACACCCCTTCTAATGAAGTGAGGTCAGTGAACGTTGCAGTACAGATGCTACAGATCTGCCATGCACAGGAAGCTGCAGGAGAGAGAAAAGGCTCGTTTCTCAATCCGCCAGCTCTTCACAACAACTAGTTTCTGATGACACATTTTTACTTTGGCCAGAGATGAAGAAAGCACTACTGTGGTAACCACTGTGGGCACAGCAAACAGCCAGCAAAGGAGCAAAGAATAACTTAGTCCTAAGAGGCTGAGCTTAAAAGAGTATGCAGTCACTCCACCTGTGCCAGGATACCAGTACTGACAACAAAGAAGCAGAAACAATGGAACCCAAAATTCCAACTCTAATGCAAAGCTGGCAAACATGCCCCCAGAAAGGTGTGAAACACGAGGAGTGGACACAGCAATGAGGAAAGGCAGTGCCACTCACCACAAATGGCAGCGATGTGAAGCGGTGTGTACCCCCGGTCGTCGCGGGAAAACGCCGTGATGATGGAAGGGTCATTCAGCTTCCTTTAACACACAATGGTTTGAGAGCAGCTCAGTCACCAAGTGAGGAGGAGAGGAAGGGAACAATTGCCAAGGCCAACAAAAATGGATTTTGGAACTTTTTATTCTTGCACCCTGACAAATTATTCTACACACAGTTTCACGCTGCTAAGAGATGTGGTTTGGTGCCAGAGCTGCAAGTCTGATCCCAGAGAAGAACCACATTTCCCAAAGGCCATACAGCCTCCACCACAAAACTGGCATGTTCCAAGGCATTCTGCACTCTGCTAACATTTCCTCTGCTTTTTCAAACCACACCAGCACACACTCCTGAAGCTCCATAGAATGCCTCCATACCCCAAAGCAGCACACTTTCCAAGGGAAATCTCAGACTTTCACACAGCTGTCTGTGCATTTGTGGAGAGAGGAGTGCTTACCCAGAAACTAACTTCTCACATTTGTCACAGTAACAGAGTGGGTGGCACATTTTCTGCACAGTGTCCTTATCACTGTCACCTTGACTCAGCAGTCGCTCCACTTCCTCCTGATTACCTGAAGCAATATGCTACAAAAAACAAGAGAAGACAGAGGGTGAGGAACCAATGTAATAGGCCTCCTTTTGAGAAAAAAAGAGAGCAATTTGCTGAAGCACAAAATTAAAGGAACCAATTATAAAAGACATATTCAAGCATTAGAAAGCAGAAATGAACAAGGTCACAGCACAAAACCCCTAATGGGCATTCAGCACTAAAAAGAATCTGTTCTTGGCTTACTTTGCTTTCTATAAAAAATTAAAACAATTCCTTTTGTTCTCTTTAGACTCAATCATGAAATTGAGCTCGCTCTGTGCAAAAACATCTCTAGGAAGCTGCCAAGACTCCAGCCATGAGCTGTGAACACATATAATTAGAAGCTCTTCTCTGTGTGCTTGTGTAGGCAAAACTCTTTCAGAATGACAATATGAGAATAACATACAACATGAAGTAGCTGTCAGGTGACCACAGCTAAATTATCTCAGAAACTCCTTTCCATTTCGAGCACTAAAAGCTGTGAGAGACAACCAGATAGTCATGTCACATCTGTGCATTAAATGGGCCAAACAATACCAACAGCATTAGCATTTCGTCCTTATTTGCTTCCATATTTCACATGATGTGCTGAAATGCCTAAGATTATATTGATGCTTTGGCACAGAAATGCACTAGATTTAAACCACAAATTTTTATCATCTACTCAAACACATTTCATGGTACTAACGTAACTGACACTTCATTACATTGCAGAAAATTGCAGACAGGGAGGGATATAAAGATGCAATACACAAGCACATCCTATTCTGCCATGAAAGTTACTCACCTTAAACAAGCAGTCTATGGGTGTAGCAGCCATCTGGGACAGCAAGTTCATCCTCTGCCTCAAGAGCAGCTTGTCACACAGGCTCTCGGATTCCTGGAAACAAAAAACATGGATCCATTATCTACACACTCATTTGCAGGCAAAAGTGAAGTACCTTAATGGTGGAATCAACTCCTAAAGAGACTAAACACTATACTTCCCATGAATAATTGACACACGTGAAGCCTAAAGTAGTTTCACATCTAAGATTCTGAGACTTGGAGCACTGCACACCTGATGTTCAAAGCAATAACAAGAAATTCAAACCAGAATATTCCCTACTGTAACTCACTGTGAACTACCTGAAAATTAACAAAGTTATGGCTGTGCCATCTAACAGAGGCACAGTGACACTAGAAAAGACATGTCAAAGACAGCAAGAACCGTAAGAGGAACAACACACCTTTCTCACGAGAAGAAATTAAGACAGACTCACCTAAGACATGTCTGCTAGTGGCTACTGGAAAAGATAGACAGACTCACCTAAGACATGTCTGCTGGTGGCTACTGGAAAAGAGCCAGATACAACTCTGACTCAGACTTTGCTGAACTCTCTGCTACTTGCTGAGAAGTAAGAGACTGTACCAGGCTAAGCATCACCCTACAGCAGAGTCATTCACCTGCTGTTTCCCTCGGGGCACTTCTAGGTGATTCGTGTTTGAGCTGAGCAGATGTAGTGCAGCTCTTGCATTGGCACTTCTCATCTTCTCAGGCTCCTTGGACAGATTCTTCAATGTGACCAGGAATAACTTCCCTAAGAAATCCTTGATCCAGAGTTTAACTGCTGACACAAGTTTCTGATCAGAATTCCTAGTGTGGATGCTCACAGACAGCTTTATACTTTCACTGTGGAGAACCTAGTAACCACTAGCAGGAACTAGAGCAGCTTTAGTACAGTTCCTTGCACAGAGTATGTTTTCCAGAGAAGTGTTCCCCAAGTGGAATAACTGAGTCACATGAGACAGCAACCCTAACGCAGCAGCCTTAGAGAGCTATTGCCTCAATCAGAAAAAATAGAGGCCTGCCCAGGTGAAAACACTTCAGAAGTGAAAGGCAGGAGAAGAATCAGGTATTGGTTGAAACACTAAGGAAGTTTGGGCCTTCAAAGTCAAAACTCACTCATACCAGTTTCACTTGCAGGCCAGGATTTTTTTCAGAGACTGCTTTGAGTGGGACAGTCAGGTATTTTAAGTGTATGTTGTCTAATAAATACACATCCAAACACGAATGATCTTCTTCTCTAACACCACTCTCAGTGTAAAGTGAAATATTTGTACCCATGGGGGTGTCCCTGTGTAACGATCAATCCAAAGGGATGGCCACAGATTATGGCAAATGTCTTGGAGAAATCCTCTCCACTTTCTCTTCCCTCCAAACACTTTATATGCCACAGTTTCCGTTCAAGACTTCCTTTCCTGGCCTCTCCACATGCATTTCCTCCATCCCAATTCCACCTACGTGAAACAGAACTCTGCCTATCCCCTCGTGGCTGGCTCCAACTCCTCATTCCAATGCTCTGAACTGCAGCCTTACTACACATTGGCTGTGAACAGGAGTGTAACTAGTACCCACAGCTCGTCAGCATTACTTAACTACAACTCCAGTTAGTAACTCCCGGGAAATAAACCCAACTCTCTGGTGCTATCAGTTACAGGTTCCTCTCCTCCCCACAACCAGCACGACCTGCGTGACCTTGGGCAAAGGGATTTGGCAAGAACACCTCAAGTGCAATTCACTTACTGACCTGAGGGTGATAATATGCCCATTATCCCTCAGGGTGCATTAGCTCCCTGCTGAGCTTTCCTTCCTAGTTAGCTTCATTAGGGACTGGAGAGCAGCATTACTCAGCTGCCAGGAGCTGTGTCTGAAGCCAGCTATAAAATTATAGCCACATAAGGGGCTGTAATGAAGCCCCAGGGCACAGCAATGTTCCTGCTCACTTACATCCCACAACCCCTTCCAGCACAACCTGGGAAAGCAAACCATGGGGCATCAATACGACAGCTGCTGCTGCTCGAAGCAGAAAGTTCATCTCATCTACCAGAGAATAAAGGAAATATCTCAACTGCTGAATTCATGCAGGGAGAGGATTGCTCCTCCACTTCCTCACTACCCTCTTCCCATTCCTGTCAAGGGGGTAATTTGCTCGCTCGTGGTCTTCCTCTTCACTCTGTGCCACCTTCCCCCTTATCTCACACAAGAGAAAAAGGTGGTCTAGCTCCTTCCTCTTCAGCTGTGCTGAGGGAAAGTCATCACCCACTTCCTCATCTTCAAGGTTCTGCTCTTCCCCTCTTGTCTCAGGTGCTGCCCTCAAGCCACACTGACTGATGAAAGGCAATGCAGGAGGATTTCACATTGCACACACACTGAAGTGAGAAGGTCAGAGGCTGCTGCTGCTCCAGGTCTGCAGCTGATCCAGCTGAAGTATGTGCAAAACACTTATCGTTTGCTCATCTACTGGTGCAGACACTCATGTGAGCAGTGTGAGACTGTTCTCACTTAGACTTCTCAAATACACAGCTCATCCTTCCAAAGAAATGAAGTACCTTACTGGCCACAGCACTTCAGTTATAACCATTTACAACTGAGGGCAATCCCAGTGTAAAATCCTGCTATCCTTAGCTATCTGATGAGGGATAGGATGAGGCATTTGACAGGAAACAGTCTTTATTCTAGAAATTTCAGAGCAGCACAAACTGTTTTAGCTTGCTGCATTGCTGTGGGGACAACTCTACTTTGGCCTCAGCTGTCCATTCAGACCACCAGCCCTGCTGTTTGTACATGGATTGTGAGTGACAGCCAAGGCACTGCAGGAAGCACAATTGCATAGCAGGTTGGGTTGCTTTTTAAGCTAACACTTTCATTTTTTAACATAATTCAGTACAGCATTACAGACAAGAAATACCACGATCTCTTTAACACAACATGAAGTAGTGTTTGCTTGATTATTTTTTTTTTTAGTGTACAAAACAAACCTGCACAACTGGTGCATGGAAAGATCCCAGGAAAGAACAAACTCAGAATAACAAGCAGCTAAAATTTACTTTAAGCGCTTCCTCTTTAAGTCTGTGCCCCAGCTTGTCCCATCCCAATCCCAAGCCCTGCACACTGAGCCACTGCTCTGGCCCCTGCAGTTAGATTCCAGTGCTTTGCAGTTGGGCAGACTGAAACACATTGAATTCACTCTGGTTCCAAGTTATCTCCTTTTGCTTTCCACATCAGATCAGGAAAACCTAGTTTTACAACAGTAGAGTATTTTACAGGAGCAGTAAGACTGAATTCCTTTACTCAATCAGCTATCAAGTTCTAAAATCACAGCAGTTTCTGAAGTCACATAATACCACCCTTGCTTGGCCACAGGGATTTGATCTGATTGACAAAAGGTCTAGTTGCCCAGCAGGAAATAACTCATTCATCCACAAACTTCCTGTCCCTGCCAGGTGAGAGATCCCAAGAGGCAAATCTGACCTTCAACCACCTTCCCTGAGCCCTGCACCCCGTTCAGCTGTCAGCTTGGTGCAGCACAGTAACCTGCACTGCACACACACTGAATTTGCAGAGCATGAGATGTCCTGAATTACACTGCCATCTCCATTCTGCTGGCACAACTAAGCTTGTTAAAATCACACAGCAATTTGTTCAAGCTATGCTCAAGTACTGCACTGCTTTCACATCCGTGTGTACAAACAGGAGATACCAAATCTACTGAAAACTCAAGCTGTAGAAAATAGTGCTGTTATTTTCCCTCTGATCATGTGAAGATGCAGACTTGACATTTAACTACCTCCTCAAGCAGTATACAATGAACAACAAGTGTTGCTACAGAGTGAGGACTTCATCGTTATCATTTAGATAATAATTTTATCATTTGCTTCAGGTACAGTCACCTCAACTCACTTCTTTAAGCAAACAAAGGGAACTCTCCCGTTAGCTGTTTGTGTCCTCTGGCTGGGTTTGCACCCATGGTGGTACAGTCTTACGAGCTCATCACACAGACATTGAGAGACTTTAAGAGTAGCTTACTGTTGATCTGTCAGAGAGGTTGCCTTGTCGTATGTATTCTATCGCAGCCTCCACTGAGGTTAGACAGTATCCCAGCTCATCCTTCACTGAACTGCAAAGCCTGAAGTTCTTTATGTAACTCAAGTTGGCCATCCTGAAATAAAAAGTTAAAGCCATGAACCAAAATAAGGCATTAGCATGGCATATTACAACTCATCTCAGGCAATCCAGGCAGACAACACATGTCTAGAAAGCTTGTTAGGTCAGCAATACTATGGATGTTCTGAGCTACTTATCCTTAAATATTCAATGAAAAGATATTAGTTGGATATAAGGAATATGGAGCACAAGACAAGAACAGTAGTGGGAGATTCCTTCACTCACTTCAGAGACATTAATGTTTCAAGCACCATTGGCACTGGTGCACAGTGACAGTTATAAGGCAAAATGCTGATCTCAGATATGGGATACACCAACATCAAAATTCAGTTCAGGTACAGCAGGAACAGTTTGGATAGACCTTTACTGAAAGTGAGGAGGGACAAACACAATGACACAGGCTAGCAGAATGCAATTTAGCACTCACATCTAGTTTCCCTATAAGAAATGTATCTAGATACACAAAGGTTTCCCAGCTCCCAACACAGACGAGAGAACCACTCTGAAGTCTTTATTGACATGCAGATTTGGTGGAGAGATGTCCTCCCATTACAACTTATTTCTAGTCTGGGAATCAAAGACATTGTTGATAGGTCCTTAATTTAGTCACATCTGTAAGACATCTTTGCTGTTTGTCCTACTAAAAAAGGGTCTCCTGAATTACAACAGGCCCTCTTGCACTTTCAGTATGTTGTTACTGTGTGTTCAGAAACATTTGCCCTTACAGCAGCAATCTTACATCTTAAGCATAAGAGATGATAGAGTTCTATACAGCCAAAAAAGTCACATACCAGTTTGGGATTTCTGTTTTCACAAGCAAATACAGCAGAACAGAGAGAAGATCATCTGCACACATGGTTTCCATGTTAACTGCAAAAAGAATTCACATCTGATGTTAGCCATGCCATGGTTCAAATCAAGAGCAATAACTCTACATGGAGCTCTGCCTCCCAAGACTAGGGAGCAGCTCCACTAGTATTGAGTGCATGGAGTAACCAGGGCAGCTCTCCAAGTGTTCTCAGCCTCCCACTGAAATAGGCTGTCAGGAGCCAACACACAAATACAGTTTGTACTGCACAAACTGCAGCATTTGATGAGCAGCTCTCCCTTCCTACACAGGAAGGGCCAGAGCACTACCTCAAGATCTCTGAAATTCTTAAGGGCAAAGGCTCCCTCAAAGTTGGTACACGTGTCCCTGACCCAGCAGACTTCCTGGAGAAAGGAAGAGATGAAGCAGGGAAAGCCGAAGTTCACTACACTTCTGCTAGGCAAATAGTGTAGCATCTCCTCTTTCCAAGCCAGATAAAACAAATACCAGGTTAACAGGTTCATGCTTTCTGATCACAGAATCATTCCCAGGGTAGCACTGCCAGAGCAGCACACAGGTTTGTTTGTCCCCCACTAACACTGCATTTTGCAGAAGATGCATCTCAAGAGTATCAATTTCAAGCTTTTCAAGGAGCATGATCTACAGCAATCCTCCTCATGTAAACTGGATCACTCAGTTCTGTGACACGAGGGAGACTCCTAGCAGAGACAAGCTCCTCTTTGCCCTAGCTGAAACTTATAGATAACCAAGTACCCCAACTCAACCCCCAAGAAACAGTGCTGAAATGTCTACCTTGCTTCCCTTTTGCTTTGCTTAGACTTGCAAGGCACACCCCAACCTAACTGTGTGTGATCCACACGTGCTACCCAAACAGTCATGTACGTCCTTGGTTCTTTGTGTGCACTGGTTAAGGGAAAAGTTTAAAATGATGACGTCGCTAATTACTGACCTCTTTGGCTAGGAGACTGCATAATGACTTGCACCACCTTCCTCAGACAGAGCAGCTTCTGTTGAGGGGAAGTGCATTTGTTCAGCTGACCCAGTTCTCGCTTCGCACGAGGTATATTAAAACTGCAAAACCATTTGAAAGGAATCATTAGCATACAGAGCTCCTATGCAGGATGTCCAGAGCCAAAGTTTTAACCTATTCAGAGCTGAATTGAAGAATGGTTTTAAAATATTGCCAGTTCTACACCCAGTACAGCTGCATTTCTGTCCCCTGGAGATGGAAGCACAGAAATCTGAACGCACAGCAGAGAGCCACCAATGCAAACACTATGGAAGCACAGAAATCTGAACGCACAGGAGAGAACCACCAATGCAAACACCGCCCTGACAAGACACTTGCAAACCTCTGCTTTCCATCCCAAATGAATGCAGTATTTGCTGATGTCTGGGAGACACTTTTTGGCTGGCAGGATCCTAATTTAAGACAGGCTTTCAGTAACTCCTCAGAGTCCACCATCATCTCTCACCTGAACTCAGGCTTCACTCCAATATCTTTCTGCTGCAGGTCCTGAAGGCTCCTTGTGATTTTATTAAAATCAGCATCCTAATCAAGACAAAGGCAACAGGTTTCTTAAAATGCTTTAGATTCAGGTTACTAGTATTTAGCAATCAAACATACTTACCTCGCTTGCCTCAATAGTCCCCACGTATTTGAAGACTAGATCATAAATAGCATGGTGGATATACATCTGTAGAAAAAAACAGTACTTTAGGCATGAAAGGGAGGGTTAAGAATAGCTTGCTCATTATTTTCCTTCACTTCAGATGCTTACTTCAACTGCTTGTTTGATCAGATTCATCTGCTCTTCTTGCTTTGCAAGCATCTTCTAGAAAAGGAAAGCCATAAACAGCATGAGAAAGTCAGAAAATTTACTGCTTAAGTAACACTGAGCTATGTATTTAGGGAGTAAGTGTTTACCAAGTGCGAATCTCTCAAAAGATGCTGGAGACATTTGGTATAAAGTGCATTGACAGAATCCTGGGGGGGGGGGGAGAGAAAAGAAAAAAACAAACATCAGATTGAAGTTAATGTGACTTGGAGGAACAAAGCTTAAATAAGCAAAGAAAGTCTTCCCTGCCTCAGAAGTGTGAACTGTGAGAAGTTTTAGCCAGAATAACTGCATTTACCAAACAGGTAAGAGTACCAATTGTACTTTCTCCCTCCTCCCTTCCTCAGCTCTAGGCCACTCTGACACAGGAAAACTCAGTGAGACAAAGATAACCAAAGCAGTAAAGAAGGAAGATACTGACTATGTAGTGCCGGAGGCTTTTCCTTTCATGCTCCTTAAACGTTCTATAGAAAGATGCTATGTATTTATCAAATCTCTCACAGTGCCTTCCCAGGAATTCTCTGACATCTTCAATGTTTTTCAGAGAATAGGAGGTTGATGAAGCTGGAGATTCACCTGAAATGAAAGCCAAGAATTGACAGAGAGGCTCAATATGTGAGCATGGTAAAACACTTTGCCCCTGCATACACAGAGTTTGAGTGCACTGAGACATTGGCTCAGTTTATTACACCTCTAACTAGAAGTATTGCTTTTAATTACAGAATTTAACACACCACATTTGAGTGGTCTCTTGCTTTTTATGTCAAGTGTTTATGTGGAACCACTAAAACCATTTCCACACGTTTCGCTACGCTGAGGTAATTTACTGCCACATGCACTCAGCTTATGAGTTGTGTAAGTCAAGCTTGGGAGCAGGAGAAAAGCACATTACAGTGTTGACTGAGTGCCCATGCAGGAAGTCAGGGCGCTTTAAGTGAGCTGTAAAAATCCCATCTTGGATTTTACATAACCTATTCTTTATTTAGACATGCTTTCTCTGAACGGGAGGGCAAAGTTGCCTCATGTAAACATTAAACCAAATCCACTTTCCTTCTGACTAAGACAACTGAAAGCCTCACTTAGAATTCCTATTGCTTTCCCAAATTCTCTTCCTAGGCAAGTCTCTCATTTGCCAGAGAGCGAACTAACAACAGCCTTAAATCTCCATTTCAAATGACTTTTGGAATTACCAAGTCCTTCCCTTCTCAAAGAATGCCATGAAACTAAGCATTACTAATGGTTAAACTGGACCAGCACAAGGATCAATTTTAGACTAACATTTCTAGAATCCAAGGCTCTATGTGTGCCAGCTATTATTTCTCAGTACAACTTCCATACTTCCCTCACAGTGTTATTTTCCCACTACCCTAATATTCCTTCACTTGCTCATCACTTCTCTCCAACATTCTTATTTATTTAGGGAGACTAATGTTTTTATTTCAGAAAAAGCTGAAGCTTCTTAGCTTCTTAAGGAGCTTCTGTTCCTTTTAATTAGTAAACACAGGTTGTTACACAAGTTCACAAGCAAATCCTGTTAGATTCACAGCTCTAACAGGAGTCTTGGAAATGGTGTTCCAGCCTTAAGGACTTTCAGTGCAGGACAAATCAAGACATTCAACTTTGGTGAGTCAGGCCACCACCAGGAAAGCTGCTGCACAGCTCTGCCATACCACCTCTGGCTGACAGAGTGATCAGGAAAGTGACCTCTCCACAGGTTCTGTGCATCCACCTTGCACCTAGACACCACATTGAACACTAACCCCCTTTTTGAGGCAGCACAAACTGAGCACTGCTACAAAAATCATGCTGGATTAAGTATTGCACAGACAACTCTTAGTGCTGAGACTGGGGCAGAAATCCTACAGAATCAAGTCTGTCTGGCAGCAACTTTGTGTTTCTCTCCAGCAGCACAGCAAGGTCTGCCCCAGCAAGCTAATAAATGCCTAAGGCTTTGAGCCAAGCAACACTTCTCGGAATGGACAGAGGTATTCAGCATATCAAACACACTCATTTGCTCACTGTGCAAAGGCAATCACCAAGTTAACACTTCAATACATACTTGAGCTTTCTGTTTTTTCCAATGGATGAGCTATGCATAGTATACTAAAGCTTTCTTCTTTTTCATTGTAAAATGTTTCCTCAAAGAGAACAGGTACCGAGAGAGGATAATTAAAGCCGGTTCCTAAAATGATGAGGTTTCCTTGTATGAAGATCTCCTGAAACAAAACAAAACCAGATCGAGCTTGAAACTCTGCCAGAAGCAAAGCTACTCTTTGGCTTCTAAATTGCATAGTTACATTTCAAGGGAAAGAAGAGAAACTTGCAAGACAAGAAAGCCCCAGATTCAAGAGATTTCATATCCTCAGTGCTGTGCAGACACTGGAACAAAGGCTCCTTCATGCTACAGTGGCTAGCTAAACTTGGCCTACAGTCTACTACAAGAGGAGGTTTCAGACAGTCACCAAGGTCTAAGTGACTATCTGCACATTTTATAAGGAGGTTTCAGACAGTCACCAAGGTCCAAGTGGCTATCTGCACATTTTAGAACAGTTTTAGCAGAAGGGAAATTGAAAAATACAGCAACTTAAACTTGGGACCCAAGCTCAGCTTCAGAAAAACATCACGTATTTCTCACACAAGCTCAGCTTCAGAAAAACATCACGTTTGTATTTCTCACGCTCAGCTTTATGCAAGCAGGTCCAGTGGGGACATCTACAGCAGGAGGACCTAGATGATAGCCCTGCAAGCTCTCAAGGGGGCAAGTTCTCAGACTGTACTGCAAAATGACAAGTGAAGGAGCTGGGATCCCATGCAGTGTCAGCACTGGCTGCCATGGTGTGCTGCTGCAGGACTCACCTTCTGCTCCCTGAACTACCCCAGCAGACTTCAAACACCATCACAATTTTGTCTTAAGCCTTGGTGAACCTGCAGCTGCACACAATACAGGCAGACTACCACCTGCCTGAGAGCTGGAGACAGTTCTTAACCAAGTGGTAAAGGCAGTCCTGCCACACAACACATGTAAGCTGACAAATGTTCTTCACTACCACAGCTGAAATCAGAGGCTGTGCTACAGGACACCTATGCTCGTGGGCATGCCAAAGTACAGCTTTAGCTAGAAAGCAGCATATCCCCAGCAACTCTGGCTTGGAAAGGCAACAGAGCTACCTGTCAGAAGTCATAACTCCTGGTTACATCTCCTGTAACCATTACTTCACACGATCAGTCATCAGCTGCAGTGAGTCACTTACTGGAGTGTCCCCAAGCTACATTCAGATAGCAGAACAGATATACCTTTCCGTTTAAGGTCTGAAAATTCTCTTCTAGTGGCTTCAGAACGTAAGATTCAAACTGGCAGGTAGACAGACTGTAGCTTGAAAGGCTTCCCTTGCATGGAACTAGCACCTAGAAAAGTTAAATCATGCTTTAGAGAGAATGCCATGTATTGCCAGCTAAACATCAATGTCCTTCAGGGAAGTAATTAAATCTGCCTATAAATATTTACTAGTAAACACATAGCAACTACAGGTGCTTTTGTTTAAATGAAAAGGCTATCACCAGACACACAGGCCAGTAAGGAACCCAGAATTTCATTCAGTGACCTGTCTGAAAAAGGATGACAGATGCAACTGAAGCAAACGATACTAAGAAGAGATGAAATCTTTAGTGACTTAAAATTAGGCAGCTAATAAGAAAGTGAAGCATATTTTCAATCTAAAATGAAAATCCATCAAAAAGAAGAGGAGAAAAATCTAAGGTAAGAAACATCTTGGGTCTACACCAACAGACTGGCCACTTGGGACATTCTTAATGAGCAACAAATTCTGCATACAACACTGTATGCAAGCTGAAAAGAAACACAGCTCACTACTAAGGGCAAGAAGCAGGAAGCACTTTCAGCACTCAGAAGCTTTCAGAGTGGTGTTACAACAGATTTGGTGAACAGACATTTGGCTGATCACATCACAGAAGCAGGAAGCACTTTCAGCACTCAGAAGCTTTCAGAGTGGTGTTACAACAGATTTGGTGAACAGACGTTTGGCTGATCACATCACCTAATACAGAATTGAAAGAACAGTGTCAATTTAAGGATTAATTTCATCACCAGGTAACAATAATCTCCACACTCTTAATTTTGGATGAAGACTAATTGTAGAACACCCAGATTAGAAATAGAACTGGAAGTTTTTATTCCAGCTTAGTTTAATAGCTTTATTTTGCTATGTAAAATGCTGTCAGAAATGAGTGACCTGTCCACCAGGAATTTCTAAAGGTCAATCCCATTTGAAGTCACAAGCACATGAGACTATAACTTCAGCTCATAGCAAAGAAAGTAAGTTTCCTGTAAAGCTTAGAAACACCAGCCTTGCCCTTTTACTGCCATGCAATACACCAAGAGACCCACACCAGTAAATAACAAGCACCTTCAGTCCTCTGCTTCACTTCCAAGTTCTGTAGGCTTGAACTCCTCTCTGCATACTTCACAGCAGACATATGAATCAAATTCAAAGAGCTACTATATAATAAGCAGCTTCCAAATCCACAGGTTGATACTTACAATGCCATGGAGTTCTGCCACTTTGCTGCACAGGTCAGGGCGCCGCTTCTGAATGGCCAAATAAAAGGGGTTCTTCAAGATATCCTCATCATACATAGCCATATGGACTTCAGGGATTCCAAGGAGACTTTCTAAAACACACATGGAGAATGGTTGCTGTGCCATACGTGGTACCTATTAAAACACACTGTTTGGGAATTCCTAGGGGCACTTTGATTTCTTTGTCCAAAAGGACAAAGCAGTTTCAGGTGCTGATGTAAGCAGCCCACAGCATGCTTAGCT